CAAGCAATGAAGGACCTCTTGTTTTTATTCAAAGCCATATTACAATGGTATCTTCTCTGTGATGTGTTTCCTGACAACCTCCAACCCTTCCTGCTCCATCATTTTCATTATTTGCACTCCCATAGAGCGTATACCTCTTATCAACTCAACATTTATTGGGCTCAAAATTGTGCTAAAAGCTAAGGTTACAGAGATAATAAGCATAATCCCTACACTCAAGAGTATGGAAAATAGAAGAAAGCAACTTTGTAATTATGGCTAAGAGAAAGAAACTCTTGATACTGAGCGTGCAGGGTGAAATCAGTGATGGGAGGGCAGAACGGAAGCAAACTCTAACCTAGGTCAATGCCTAACTCGCCACACCATAGCTGCACATTTACCGGTCAGGTTTCTGTACCGCAAGGTGAGCCCAGAGGACAGACAGGGTCTTATTCATATCTGTATTCACAGTCATCAGCCCAGAAACTGGTATATGAAAGGAATCTAATAAATATGCTCTGAATGCCATAATTTCTAAGACTTTTACTCACTGAATTGGCATGGAAGTGAAAGTGAAAGTGAAGTCGTGTCCGACTCTTTGCAACCCCATGGACTGTAGCCTACCAGGCTCCTCCATCCATGGGATTTTCCAGGCAAGAGTACTAGAGTGGGTTACCATTTCCTTCTCCAGAATATTTATTTTTATTTATTTATTTGGCTGTGCAGGGTCTTAGTTGTGACATGTTGTATCTAGTTCCCCAACCAGGGATCAAACCCAGGGCCCCAGCATTGAGAGCTCAGTCTTAGGCACTGGACCACCAGGGGAGTCAAGTGAAAGTGAAAGTCGCTCTGTTGGGTCCGACTCTCTGCAACCCCATGGACTATGGAATTCTCCAGGCCAGAATACTGGAGTGGGTGGCCTTTCCCTTCTCCAGGGGATCTTCCCAATCCCGAGATCGAACCCAGGTCTCCCACATTGCAGGCAGATTCTTTACCAGCTAAGCCATAAGGGAAGTTCGAATTGGCATAGAGCTGAGCAAATAGTAAAATGATTGCTAAATAAACAAAGGATTTCAATCTGCAAAAGCAAAGGAAGCTTAAAAGTCTGTACTAGACAAGGAAGAACAGTTCCTAAAGAGTCCTGGGGCCACAGGATATGCCAAGACTCTCTACAAAGAGGAACTGGACCTAAACATCCTTGGCACAGAAACTCCAAGATGAGGAGTAGAGACGCACTCATTCACTTAACAGTATTCATGCTCGTGCTCAGTCATGTCCAACTCTGCAACCTCATGGGCTGCAGACTTCCAGGTGCATCTGTTTGTGGGATTTTTCAGGCAAGAATACTGGAATGGATTGCCATGCCTTCCTCTAGGGAATCTTCCTAACCCAGGGACTGAACCCACATCTCCTACGTCCCTTGCATTGCAGGCAGATTCTTTTCCACTGAACCACCAGGGCCTACTATCTGCCAAGCACTGTTCAAGAGCGTCCACCACAGTGAACAAGCCAGATAAAAATCCTTGCTTTCATGGAGCTTATATTCTAGTGGAAGGGGAAAAGAGCAGTAAAATAAATATGCGAATTACAAAGTGTGGTAGACAATAATACAGAGAAAAACAAATTCAAAGGCAGTGAGTGTACAGCAGTGAGGACTGGTGGTGTGAAAAGTGTAGTCATAGAAGACCTCCTTGAGAGGGCAAGTTTGAGTTAAAGCCCTTACAGAGATGAAAGAGTGAGCCATGTGGACACCTGGGGGAAGGGCATTCCAGACAGAGGCAATTACAAGTGTACAACCCTGGCCTTTCGAGGAAGAACCAGGCCAGCATAATGTGAGCTGGGAAGGGAAGAAGGTGGAGAGTTACAGGAAATTATGCCAAAGAGAAAAAGAATCAGATCATTCTGTCCCTCGTAGAAAGTGATGTCGCTCAGTCGTGTCCGACTCTTTGTGACCCCATGGACTGTAGCCTGCCAGGCTCCTCCGTCCATGGGATTTTCCAGGCAAGAGTACTGGAGTGGGTTGTCATTTCCCTCTCTAGGGGGTCGTCCTGAGCCAGGGATCGAACCCAGGTCTCCCACACTGCAGGCAGACTCTTTACCATCTGAGCCACCAGGGAAGCTCTTGTCTCGCATAGGCCATGGCAATTATTTTGTTTTGCTTTTTGTTGTTTAACCTCTTTTACTGAAATAGAGGAAACTGCAAATCCTAAGTGTCAGCTCAATGAATAACCATAAAATGAACAAATCTGTATATCCAGACATAGGTTAAGAAATGGCACATAACCAGCAGCCCAGAAAACCCCCGCTATGCTCCCTCCTACTTGCTCTCCCTCCCTCCTCCTCAAAGGTGACCCTATCCCAACTTTTAAAAGAATAGAATTATTTTGCTTGTTTTTAAAATTTAAATAAATGGAAGCATGTCACTGTATTCTATTTGTATCTGAATTTTCCTTTTTCACTCAAGATTTTCCTTGTGATATTCGTGCATGTGATTCCAAGAGGGAAGAAGGGTCAAATGACAAACAACAGCATGTTACAATGCTGATGGAAAAATGTAGTAAGGGGTGAAGTTTATGGCAGTGTTTATGTGACAGGCATGCATATGACAATTTGAGAGAGGACGTGTGAGCTCACCCAGAAGTTGAGCACAAAATTCCTAAGAGACATTTCTTCCCCTACTCAGATTCTCTCCTGAGAACTAAGGGGTCTTAAGAAACTTGAGGTTGTAATAACAGTTGTTACTGTTGAGTCTCTAAATCACATCCAACTCTGCAACCTTATGGACTGCAGCACGCCAGACTTCCCTATCCTTCACTATCTCCCAGAGCTTTCTTAAACTCATATTCATTGTGTTGATGATGCTATCCAACCATCTCATCCTCTGTTGCCCCCATCTCCTCCTGCTATCAATCTTTTCAGCATCAGGGACTTTTCCAATGAATTGGCTCTTTGCATCAGGTGGCCAAACTATTGGAGCTTCAGCTTCAGCATCAGTCCTTCCAATGAATATTCAGGGTTGACTCCCTTTAGGATGAACTAGTTTGATCTCCTTGCCTGTCCAAGGGACTCTCAGGAGTCTTCTCAAAAGTATCAATTATTCAAAAGTATCGATTTTTCAGCACTCAACCTGCTTTATGGTCCAATTCTCACATCCGTACATGACTACTGGAAAAACCATAGCTCTGACTATAAGGACCTTCGTCGGCAAAGTGATGTTTCTGCTTTTTAATATGCTATCTAGGTTTGTCATAGCTTTTCTTCCAAGGAGCAAGCATCTTTTAACTTCATGGCTGCAGTCACTCTGTGCAGTGATTTTGGAGTCCAAGAAAATAAAATCTGTCACTGCTTCCACTTTTTCCCCATCTATTTGCCATGAAGTGATGGGAGCAGATGCCATGATCTTAGCTCTTTTTTTTTAATGTTGAGCTTCAAGCCAGCTTTTTCACTCTCCTCTTTCACTCTCATCAAGAGGCTCTTTAGTTCCTCTTCACTTTCTGCCATAAGGGTGGTATCATCTGCATATCTGAGGTTGCTGATATTTTTCTGGGCAATCTTCATTCCAGGTTGTAATTCCTCCACCCTGGAATTTCACATGATGTAGTCTGGATATAAGTTAAGTAATCAGGGTGACAATATACAGGCTTGAAATATTTCTTCCCCAATTTTGTCCAGTCTGTTATTCTATGTCCAGTTTTACCTGTTGCATCTTGTCTTGCATATAACTTTCTCAGGAGACAGATAAGGTGTTCTGATATTCCCATCTCTTTAAGAATTTTCCACAGTTTGTTGTGATCCACACAGCCAAATTCTTTAGCATAGTCAATGAAGCAGAAGTAGATGTTTTTCTGGCATTCTCTTGCTTTCTCTGTGATCCAGCAGATGTTGGTTCTTCTACCAACATCTGGTAGATGGTTCTTCTACCTTTGGTTCTTCTACCTTTTCTAAATCCACCTTGAACACCTGAAAGTTCTCAGTTCACATATTGCTGAATCCTAGTGGTAGTGGTTACTTATTCATTGATTCACTCAAACATTTCCAGATCCTACTTTGAATCAGGCTCTGTGCTCAGATATAAAGATAATTAAGATAACTATTAAATAAGATGATTAAGTTAACAAGAGAACAGAGGGCTACAAAATGGTATGATAAATGCTAGGAATTTGGCAAAAGATGTTAAGGAAGAATCTTCTTTAAAAATGATTGTAACCATTTCACCTTTTTTGCTCAAACATTAATGGCTCTGAGATCGGCTCATGAGAGTGTAGCCATTACATGTTACTTTGAAGTTATATGTATTAATTTTATACTTACCAGTTTTTATCTTCTCAACTCCTAGACAATTATCTTTTGGGAGCAGAAAAGATATCTTTTGGTATCATGCAAGGAGCACAAAACATTGTCAAAGGAGTTGGATCTGAATCCCAACTCTGTTATTCTTTATCTGGGTAACCTTAGGAAAATTAGCTAACTACTCTGTGCCTCAGATCCTTTTCTGTAAATGGATATGATAATATTCATCCTACCTGTCAGAATTGTTGTCAGCATCAGATGAAATAATGTATAAGAGCTGTAAATTCCTGTTATTAGTCCTTTAAATCTCACAAGCCTACTATGTTGAACACAGCAGGTATTTACTAAAGCTTTAATTATATTTCATCAGTAAAGAGTTGCAGTTTCTGAAATCTGTGCCAGGGATTGGATGCAGTTGTCCCTCTCCATCTCATGCCCAGATAACTCAGAGGCTGGGGTCGGATAGTATGGCTATGGCCCAGGTGTGACCAGCTAGTGTGGGAAGGTAGACTGGCTGGGACCAACTACTCATCAACCAAGGGTGCCAGGCATTTTGTTGGTGGAGCCTCTGTGACTGTCTACTTCAGCACTCCTCCCAGCTCTTTTCCTCTTCATCTTATCTTTGGACTTCAGCATCAGTGAGCTCTAACAGACTGGCAGCAAGGAGAAATGGCGTGGGAAGTAGGGGGAGGGAAGGGAGAGTTACAACAGTTTGCTTTCTGTGTTCACAGGGAACTCAGTTTCAGAAGCCAGCTCAACCCCACCGGTTGTGAACGGGGTCCTGCGGGAGTCTGTAACTCTCCCCTCGAATTTTCCTGTGAAAGAGAATATCTCGTCCATCACCTGGCTTCACAAGGGAAACTCTGTCATCTTCATATGGCCAAAAGAAGCAAAAATACAGGTGACTGATCCAACACGGAAAGATCGACTGAATATCATCGAGTCCTACTCCTTGCAGCTCAACAATCTGACAATGGCAGACGCGGGACATTACCGTGCCCAGATAACCACATCAACCTCCTTTCTGTACACCGATTATAACCTGCAGATCTTCAGTGAGTCAAAATCGGGCTTAATTTTGTATGGACTAAAAAATTGTACATATTTCAATTCTATGTGACTGCAAACATGCACTATAGACTTGTGGTAAAAAGTATGGCATTTGGAGCTAGACTGAGGTCCAGAAACAAAACAATTCAATGACATTGCACAGCAGTTAGTGACAGAGCTGAGATTAGAACTGAAATCTTATGACTCATTGACCCTGTACCAGGCTCCGTTATACTTGTTGAGACAAGTTTCTTCTGCGACTATTTAGAAGACCAAGTACAACTTCTGCAACAACCACACTCCTGAGACTGAATGCCAATACATTCCCAGGGCATTTTGGAGTACCTCTCCTTCAAAAGCACATACACAAAAACAAATGTAAGGTACACCAATATGTTTTACAATTGTGCCAAGGAATTTTAAGATAAAAATTATCAGCTTTTTAAAACATTGACCAATTAATCTATGTGTACTAGGCTAGAAATAGCAAAGATTTGATCTTATGGGCCAATATCAATTAATTGGGAGTAAGATTCAGAGTTAAGAAAAATATGAGTCATGTTAAGTTTATTCAGTGAGTCAACAGTATTTGTTAACCATGAATGATGTTTGAGACTCTGTTTTAGGCCCTTGAGATACATCAGTGAGCAAAACAAAGATCCCTGACCTCATGGAGCTGACATTCTGGGTAGAGGATATGGGGGCAATAATAAAAATACACTTAATATATGAACAAAGAACACAGTAAGTAAGTCATGAGAGAAACTCATGGAAAAAGAGATTAGAACAGCATAAGGACCACCAGAAATGCCAGAAAGCAGCAGTCTGTTTTAAATGGAGGAGTCATAATAGGCCTCATTGAGAAGATGACATTAGAGCCAAGGCCAGTTGCAGATGAAAGAGTGAGCCACGCAGATATCTAAGGGAAGAGCTATCCAGGGCAGGCCCTCCCTGCGTCTGGCAGGTTCAAACATCAAGGAGCAGAGTAAGAGAGAGTAACAGGAAATGAGGTCAGTAAGGAAATAGGGAGCCACATCAGCTAAGGCTCTGGGAGCCATCACAAGCACTTTGGCTTCTACTCTTGGGGGGTGGAGAACAATTAGAGGATATTTTTGCACATGTTGACTTGGGGATATACATTATGTTCAGGTGGAAATGTCAAGTGGGTAATTATATATTCATCAAGTGGAGTAAGATATCAATATAGGTTTTTGAGGTCAGCAATGGACATTGGTTGAAGGAGGTAAATATTCAAGCCAAACATTTGCCATTGCTGTGCTATGTGCTATCTCATTTAATTCTCATAGTTCCAAGAAGTAGGTATTATTGCCCAGTTTTACAGATGAAGAAATTGGGGCAAGCAGAGACTAAAATTTGTCCATGGTCATGTAGCCAGTAAATGACAAAGCCGTGATTCTAACCTAGGTCTTCCTAACTCCAAATCCACTCTTGCCATGACATGAAAATTCTGTTTGAACAAGGTATGTTCCACAACCCCTACTCAGTTAGCTAAACTTAATGCTTTGCCTAATCTCTTCTAATGAGATAGTTGGAGTCATTCCAGTTTTTACTGGGTCATCTTTATTTCAACCCTTGGGCCAAGTCCAGGTCAGAAAGTTTTCCTGTACCGCCTCCATGTTCACACTGATTCACAGCTGCTGACACAATCTTAGGTAATATTTTCTGGTCTCCGCTCTCAGAAGTATCTGCATCATGTGTATTCTCAAACGCCCAAGTATATTGCACTTCTTCCTTCCCATGAACTGCTTGCTTTCTCTGTTTCTGCACTCCTTCCTTCCCTAATTCTTTAGTTCTCAACACACCCCTTTCTGACTTGCTGACACTCTGCATCAAGGTCTCTTTGTTATCATTTGAGGAAGCACCATATCCAATGAGAACCAATATCCCAACAAAGTTGTGGGAAATTTGGTTCTCCAAGTAAGTTAAGCTTTTATCTTCCATCCCAGCTAGGAAAATTCTGATAATGGAGGAAACAGGGCTCATACACCTGCTCCTCTGGTTTCTGAACTAAGGCTGGGCCGCATAGTCTCCAAATTATCTTTACACAGGGGGCAGTGAACAAGGGCAGGAAGGACCCCAGGAATAAACTGGAGCTCCAAAAATTAAAGTGATCAGCTCAAAATCACCTGACTAGCTGGCAGAAACTCCAGTCTCCCCCTTCTTTTTCTTCCACCGCCTACTCTGTCTCATGCTGACGTCCCTCACCATTTGGTCACCACAGGCCTCAACCCCATCAGTCAGGCAGCACACACAGAGTTATTTACAGAGTATACAGCAGTGTCAGGTGGGATACATGGAAATATGGGGGTGATAGAGATTTTTCACAGAGGGCTGAGCCAAGCCATTTGTCCTTCATCCAGGCCTCTTCTCTGCACACAGGACGACTGAGCAACTTACAAGTTGCCCATCACACCAAACTGTCTGAAAATAGTACCTGTGAGATCCAGCTGACCTGCTCTGTGGAGAATCCAAATGATAACGTCTCGTTCAGGTGGGAGGTAGCAGGAAACCCATTTCATAGTGAAGCAAATCTTTCTGTAGCCTGGAACCCCAAGAGCCTCAGTGAAGAGACCTACACCTGCATAGCTGAGAATCCTGTCAGCAGTTTATCCTCCTCTGTCTCTGACAAAAGTGTCTGTAAAGGTAAATCCGTCTCAGGTCTCTCTGAGGGCCTTGAGTGTTGTGGGGTGTGGGGTGTCCCTCGTGCCCTTTATGATTCCTAAAACAGTGGCCCCATGGGAGACGACTGAGCGATGCTGTGAGAGGACAGACACCCCTGGAGCTCTGGGCCTCTTCCTCCTCTAGAGCGCCCTCCTTTTCCCTCCCCCTCGACCAACCATTTCTCTAAGCCTCCCAGAGCCCAAGAGCAAAGTCCTTAGGAGGGCAAGATTGCGTCTTCTCTCTGTCTCTACCAGGCTCCGCCCTGCCCTGTCTGCCTAAATGAGGCTCCCACTCGCAGAAATCCTGCCCAGGCCCCCAGAACCTCTGGGTATAGATGAACCCACCCAACCCCCAAAGACAGTCTAGAAGAGATGCAATGGAGGCTCTAAAACACCACTCTGGGTCTCACTTGATGTGTCTCAAACGCAACTTCTTTTTTTTTCTTTTCTTTTCAGGTGTTATTAATGGGAAAAATGAATACTTGGATATCAGATGGATTATCATTGTGGTTGTTTTGACATGTATATTCTTCATTGCATTGATATTAATATTTGTTCAGAGGAAAAAAGTAGCAGGTTTTCCTTTCTTCTTATTGTTACTTCTCCCAGGCTTCAGAGACTTAGAGTCTGCCCAGACAAGACTCTGTCGTAGAAGACAGATAAAGGGGGTGGGGGGGTGGGGGAGGATGCAAACCTGGCTCAGTCAGTCCACTGGGACAACACTTGGGCTGTGAATACACATGCGCTAATCTCTTAAGGAAAGTGTCCTACTAGAAAATGCAGGACCCAGCCTTGGGGCCTGCCTGCCCTCCCTTCTGGGCCCCTTTCCCACCACATCCTCTAGAGCAGGGGTCCCTGACACCCAGGCCCCAGGCTGGTACCAGTCGGTGGCCTCTTAGGAACCAGCTCACATAGCAGGAGGTGAGCAGTGAGCAAGCAAATGAAGCTTCATCTGTATTTTCAGCCCCTCCCCATCGCTCACATCACCTAAGCCCCACCTCCTGTAGATCAGGGGTGGCATTAGATTCTCATAGGAATGAGACATCTAACCTGAAGTCAAGGCAGTATATCTTGAGCTTGCCACAAAATAGAAATAAAGTGCACAAAAAATATAATGTGTTAGAACCATCCTGAAACTACCCCCTCCACCAACCGTCCCTGGCACCAAAAGCGTTGGGGACTGTTACTCTAGAGAGACACCTACAGGGTAGAGGGTGGGAGGCTTATCTCACTACAGTCACAGATTTCAATTTCCCTGATTTTATTTTTCAGGTTTCTTTCAATTCTCTACTCAGCAAACCCAGTGTCCTGGTGAGCTTCCAGACTCAGTTCCCAGTCACTAAACAGATGGCAAGAGCCAAGTGGAAAATGAAGTGGGGTGATCAGAGGGCTAGATAACGAGAGAGGAGGAGGTCAGAATGTCATTATTCAGATGGACCAGATGGTGCAAGGGAAGAAGACCTGGAATTGTGCAAGTCTGTCCCCTGTGGGACCTACGGGGTCCCTTACAAGAATGCAAACTGGTCACTCAGGCAATTTCTTGGGATGGGATTAGGGCCATTCCCCATCCTATCAATGGAGAGACTAAGTGCCAGTGAAAGGGCTTGTGGCCTGTCCATTATCAACAGCAGGCACAGTGTAAAGACAGGACTAGAGCATCAAATGCCCAGAGATGACTGCCTGACCCCATCACTCTGTTCAACCAGAGTTTGGCTATTGAGTTTGAAGTGAAAGTCGCTCAGTCATGTCTGACTCTTTGTGACCCCCATGGACTGTACAGTCCATGGAATTCTCCAGGCCAGAATACTGGACTGGGGTAGCCATTCCCTTCTCCAAAGGATCTTCCCAACCCAGGGATCGAACCCAGGTCTCCTGCATTGCAGGTGGATTCTTTACCAACTGAGCTATGAATCAGAAGGCATGCATTCAAATTCTTATTTGATCATTTCCTGTGTAAATTTGCACCAAGGCAGTAAAACTTTCTGAGCCTCCAGTTTCTCATCTCTAATATAATCAAACCCACTCTAAGGAGCTCTGAGAAGTTGGATAGTATTATAAATGCGAGACAATCTGGCTCCATTATGCTCACCAATGAGATTCTCTAGCTCCTGTGGAGCCAGTGCTGTTTTGTCCCAGAAGCTTCCCTTCCTGTGAATCCAGAGAGACTCTGAGGCTTTAGGGTAGCTCAAGACTACATTCCCCCAGAAGATGAGGTCAGAAATAGATGGAATAGCTGACAAGGTTCTGGTTCAACCCTGAACTCCCAAGACTGGGGAAATGAATGTACCCTAAGGAAGGGCAATGTTTCAAACAACTACCTCTTTGGGGCCAGAGAGTGATGTGGGGTTGATAAGGTCCTGGGAGGGCAGACCAGAGTCCTCCAGTCACTGACTGTGTCTTCCTGTGTTAACAGCAGAAACTGTGAGTAACTTAGAGTACGCTTCCTTCTCTTCAGGGAACACTGTGTATGTTCAGGTCACCCATTCAAACAGGGTGAGTACTTTCAGGTTTATACTCCATCATAGTCATTATTTTTACAGTCATTATTAATGAACTTGTCACAATTATCTGACTAAATCCAAATGATGTACACCACTGAGGTGAAGTGAAGGCAGTAACAAGAGTTATGTGTGGGACCTTTCTACACCCTTTTGCTCTCATGCCAGTGGAATGTTTAGTCAGTCATACCTTGCTTTACATTGCTTAATCTAACTATGTAATGCATCTGTAAGTCATGTCCCTTCAGCTTACTTACAGGCTGCCTGGAAGTGAAAATTATGTCTTCCTCTCTCTTCCCCTGTGTCTTAGCATGAAGCCCAGTAAATATCTGCTGGATGGATAAAGTTGTTAAGTTTGAGAGTTCCCAAAGGACACAATTCTGTATCAGTGGGCTTTTCATCCTTTTGTAGGGGAAATAGCAGGGCTCAGAAGAGTCTCTTAAGAGAGAAAGAGTGACAAGAATTGGCAATCCCTCAACTGTGAAAGACACTAAAGGCATGAGCAGCCCTCAATCGTCCCCTCCCCTCTAGCAACATAACAGGATGGCCTTGGTCAGGCACCAGGAACTCCCCATCATGCATCAGTAATTCTTCATCAGCCCCAAAATAAAGCACCGGCAGAGGGTACATTTCTAAATAACACTACACATCCTGGGAGACCAGTTTCCACATCTAATGAAAAATAAGCCAGGAGAGCCAGCGTTCTTCAATGATGGAAGCGGTAGTCTAGCTAGAAATTTTGGATTCCACAGCCAATCTCCCCTCACAAAGCCCTTTACAGATGTTTGCAAAGTAGGCTCTTTAAAGATAGCAAACAAGAGATGCTCTCACCTCAGATATTTCAATTGCCTTTCCAATTTTCTCTTGATGACAAGATGAATCACTCGCAACAAACCAAGAATCTAATCTCCAACAAATTTGTTAACTTTTTCTTTAGCAAAACATGGTACTTTGGAGAGTTTCAGAGGTTTTAATAACACCCTAGATATACCCTAATTCATTTAAAATGCCAAAAACTATGAGCACGGGGGACTTCTGTTATCATCAGTCTTTTTATTCCAAGCAGAGTCATTCTTAAGACAAGGTATTCCTATTCTAACAGTTCTGCATGTTCAAGGAGACCCCAATGATGTGATGGCCAGGCTATTAGAATCACAGGGGCAAAATAGAGCAGGCAATACCTCCAGTTATAGGTAGTAAAGATCTGAGACCGAAGATGTACTACAACAACCATGTGGCAGTGTAGGTTAGTTCTTTTTTTTCTGACTGCACTGGGTATTTGTTGCTGCTCACAGTATTTCTCTAGTTGCAGTGAGCAGGGGTTACTCTCTCTAGTTGCAGTGTGTGGGCTTCTCATTTTGCAGTGAATCCTCTTCTTACAGAGCATGGGCTCTAGGGTGCACAGACTTCAGTAGTTGTGGCACATGAGCTTAGTTGCCCCATGGCAGGTGTGATCCTCCTAAACCAGAGATCAAACTCACTTCCCTTGACAGGCAGATTCTTAACTGGTGAGTCACAAGGGAAGTCCCTGTAGGTTAGTTCTTAAAAATGGAGGAAAGAGAGTAGAGTTGGATGCAGGACAAGAAAGCTTTCTTTCCTTCACACCACCTGCCAACAAGGTCACCCTTCTGTCTTTCTCGGGTTCATGAGCCCACTGGTTTGCTGGCGTGCTGTGTTTCAGTATGGGGCTCAGGAAAGGTGAAGGAAATCCTTCACAAATCTGAGAGCTAGTGGTGCTTGGTTTCCAGTTCCTCTTGCTAAACACTCCATAGCCTTCCTCCGGAAGAGTTTTGACATCATCCCTCTTTTGTCACACTGCCTTTCCCAAGAATATATCTCTTTGCATGAGTTTATATCTCTTTATGTGAATATATGTATACATGAGTACATATCTCTTTATGTAAGCCAAATCAATATAATTGTGTTCTACAGGAAGCAGAAATCTCAAAACCTGTGAAAAACAATGACTCCAACACAATTTATTCTGAAGTTCATCATCCCCAAGAGGTAAGCCCATAATTTCCAGCTGTTCTTACATTCTTACCTCTCTTCTCACACCTAAGATTTTGCAAAGATAGTAATAGTAAAGGGACCATTTTACAGATGCCAGAAATATAGGCTACAGAAAGTCTCAGGACATACCTAAAACACATCCAGGAAGTTATCTGGTATTAATATTAGGATTACCACACTTAACTGAGTTTTTAACCTACTTTTTAAAAATATACATCTGTTTGTTTATTTTTATTTGAAGTATGGTTGATTTACAATGTTATGCCAATATCTGCTGTATAGCAAAGTGATGTAAGCTACTTATTTTTCTTTTAATTTAATCTTACCTTAGGCTATGAATATCCCTATCTGCTCATAGTGATTTCCAGACACCTCTATAACCACGAGGAATGGCCTGACACTCTGGTTTCTGTTGACCTTCTTTATTTTTCCCTTTTTCCTATTAGAGAAAGCCCATTTATTCCAAGACAACTGCCCATCACAACGTCATGTAAGTTTCTGAAAGACTTCAAAGGAATTTCGGAATTACATATCTGCTCCTAATCCCACGAGAAAGAACAGAGCTTGGCTTCCGACCACATAATTTGAATATCTAGGATTATCAGACTTGAATCTGCTTACCCAGGTCAAACACTTAAGGAATCTCGTCATTTCCAGAATGCGACCCAAATAACATTTTCTAATCGGCTCCAGGCCAAAATATACATCAGATAATACGCCTGAAAAAATTCTCAACAAGATACTACCAATCTGAATTCAACAATACATTGAAAGGATCATACACCATGAGCAAGTGGGATTTATCCCAGGAATGCAAGGATTTTCAATATCTGCACATCAGTCGGTGTGATACACTACATCAACAAATTGAAGGATAAAAACTATATGATCATCTCAATAGATATAGAATAAGCTTTTGGAAAAATTCAACACCCTTTTATGATTTTTAAAAAAACTTTTGGGGAGGGTGGTGGGAGGGGGGTTCAGTATGGGGAACACATGTACACCCATGGCTGATTCATGTTAATGTATGGCAAAAACCACTACAATATTGTAACATAATTAGCCTCAATTAAAATAAATAAATTTTTAAAAGTAAATAAAACTGAAAAAAAAAACTCTCCATAAAGTGGTCATAGAGGGAAACTACCCTAACATAATAAAGGCTATATATGAGAAGCCTTGGAGAAAGAAATGGCAACCCACTCCAGTATTCTTGCCTAGAGAATCCTGTGGACAGAGGGGCCTGGTGGACTGCTGTCCATGGGGTCGCACAGAGTTGGACATGCCTGAAGCGACTTACCATGTGACGAACCTGCAACTAACATCATACTCAACAGTTAAGCTGAAAGCATTTCTTCTAAGATCAAGAATAAGACAAGGATGTCCACTCTGGCCACTTTTATTCAAAATAGGCTCCAACTAATAAAAATCAATGGGAAAAAAAATAGTTTTGGAAGAACTAGCCATGGCAATCAGAGAAGAAAAGAAAAGAAAAGGAATCCAAATTGGAAAAGTAAAATTATCACTGTTTGCAGATGACATGATACTACACATAGAATATTCTAAAGATGCAAGCAGAAAACTACTAGAGCTCATCAGTGAATTTGGTAAAGTTGCAAGATACAATATTAGTGCAGAGAAATCAACAAAATCAACAACAAAAGATCAGAAAAATAAATTCAAGAAATAATCCCATCTACCACAGCATCAAACAGAATAAAATACTTAGGAATAAACCTACCTCTGGAAACAAAAACCTGTACTTCAAAAACTATAATACACTGATGAAAGAAACCAAAGACCACACAGGCAGATGGAAACATATACTGTGTTCTTGGATCGGATGAATCAACATTGTCAAAATGACTATATTACCCAGGGAAATCTACAGATTCAATGAAATCTCTGTCAAATTACCAATGTCATTTCTCACAGAACTAGAACAAAAAAATCTTAAAATTTGTATGAAGACACAAAAGACCCTGAATAGCCAAAGAAATCTGCAAACAATAAATACTGGAGAGGATGTGGAGAAAAGGGAACCCTCCTACACTGTTGGTGGGAATATAAATTCATACAGCCACAAAGGAGTAAGCAGTTTCCTTTAAAAAACTAAAAATAGAGCTACCATGAGATTCAGCAATTCCACTATTGGGCATATATCTGAAGAAAAACATGGTTCAAAAGAATATATGGACTCCAACATTCATTGCAACACGATTTACAATAACCAAGACACGGAAGCAACCTAAGTGTCCATCAATAGAAGAATAGATAATGAAGGTGTGGTACACTTATACAATGGAATATTACTCAGCCATCAAAAAGAACGAAATAATGCCATTTGCAGCAACATGGGTGGACCTGGAGATTATTATACTAAGTGATATGCAGATCTTTTTAAAAATTGATACAAATGAACATATTTACAAAGCAGAAACAGATTCATAGACTTAAAGAATGAATTACGGTTACTAGGGGAAAGGGTTAAAAAAAATGAGTCTAGTTATTGACTTTCTCTTAGGTAACTAAGCAAATGGACTCATGGTTGGCAGAGAGATTATAATTCAGAAGACAACCAGTTCTCTCCTTTTAGAAAGCAGCAGGACTGTGACTCAGTGGGAGGGAATACAGTGTGCTGGTTACTTGTATTTTCTCTGGAGTTGACCCCATGCTCTTATCATAATACATCATTTACTAGATGTACCTCCTGGAACATGTTACCTAACCTCTTCCAGCTTTGGCCTCCTACACTGAAAAAGGAGGCTAGCCGTGGATCAGGCCTGTTATACAAATGAAAGACCTAAGTTATCACTGGCTTCAGTCCACGGGGTCGCAAAGTGTCGAAGACGACTGAGCGACTGAACTGAACTCAGCTTCTCTATAACCAGGCCCTTTGGACTCAACCTCCAACCAGTGGACCTCTCCACTTTTCTCCAAATCTGCAACCACCATCCGACGTACAACCATCACCCTCTCAACCTGAATGCTGCAATAAACTCAGAGCAATTCTCCCCAGTATCTGCTCTTGGCTCCCTCTAATCCATTCTCCATGGCATAGCCCAAGTACTGTTTTTAACATAAATCAGATCCTTCACTTGTCTGCTTAAAATCCTTCAAGACTTCCTAATGCACTCAGGATAAAAGTTGAGTATACATGGCTTTAGACAGTCTGGTCCATCCCACCCTCAACTAGCATCATTCTTCCTCCACTATCTTTATTTAGCCTGAGATCTTCTTTTAGCTCCCTTATTAGAGGAAAGAATGATCTATGTTAATAGAGCTATTTACTTCTGCCTCAAGGCCCTTCCTCTGTGTGCCGGGGTCTTCCTTATTTTTAGGTGTCAGTTTACCTATGTCACATTCCAAGAGAGACCTTCCCAGGCCCTTCTATCTGAAATACATCCCCCTATTATTCTATCATACCTTCTATGTCATTTAGTATGTGTCATTAAATATTTATTTTCATTCGTTTAATGTCTGTTTTTCCTACTATACCATAAGCTCTTCAAGAATAGGGACATGACAATTTTGTTTATCACCATATCTCTAGCACATAGCAAACATTCGATAAATATTCTTAATAAACAAATAAAATGGAGTTTATGGAGTAATGGAGTTTTGTAAGAATTAAGTAAAACAATTCACCTGAAACTCTTAGCATTATGGTTAGCAAATAAAAGAGCTCAATCATTTGAGAGCCAGTCATCATTATTGTTGTATTTTTACTGCTGTTATTATTCAGTCAGTTCAGTTCAGTTGCTCAGTTGTGTCTGACTCTTTGCAACCCCATGAACTGCAGAACACCAGGCCTCCCTGTCCATCACCAACTCCCGGAGTCTACCCAAACCCATGTCCATTGTGTCGGTGATGCCATCCAACCATCTCATCTTCTGTTGTCCCCTTATCGTCCTGCCCTCAATCTTTCCCAGCATCAGGGTCTTTTCAAATGAGTCAGCCCTCCACATCATGTGGCCAAAGTATTGGAGTTTCAGCTTCAACATCAGCCCTTCCAATGAACATCCAGGACTGATCTCCTTTAGGATGGACTGGTTGGATCTCCTTGCAGTCCAAGGGACTCTCAAGAGTCTTCTCCAACACCACAGTTCAAAAGCATCAATTCTTCAGTGCTCAGCTTTCTTTATAGTCCAATTCTCACAAGACTGAGCAACTTCACTTTCACTTTTCACTTTCATGCATTGGAGAACAAAATGGCAACCCACTCCAGTGTTCTTGCCTGGAGAATCCCAGGGATGGGGGAGGCTGGTGGGCTGCCATCTATGGGGTCGCACAGTGTCGGACAGGACTGAAGCGTCTTAGCAGCAGCAGCAGCAGCAGCAGCAGCTCACATCCATACATGACCACTGAAAAAACCATAGCCTTGACTAGACAGACCTTTCTTGGCAAAGTGATGTCTCTGCTTTTAATATGCTGTCCAGGTTGGTCATAACTTTCCTTCCAAGGAGTAAGCGTCTTTTAATTTCATGGCTGCAGTCACCATCTGCAGTGATTTTGGAGCCCAGAAAAATAAAGTCAGCCACTGTTTCCACTGTTTCCCCATCTATTTGCCATGAAGTGCTGGGACCAGATGCCATGATCTTAGTTTTCTGAATGTTGAGCTTTAAGCCAACTTTTTCACTCTCCTCTTTCACTTTCATCAACAGGCTCTTTAGTTCTTCTTCACTTTCTGCCATAAGGGTGGTGTCATCTGCATATATGAGGTTATTGATATTTCTCCCGGCAATCTTGATTCCAGCTTGTGCTTCCTCCAGCCCAGCGTTTCTCATGGTGTACTCTGCATATAAGTTAAATAAGCAGGGTGACAATCTACAGCCTTGACGTACTTCTTTTCCTATTTGGAACTAGTCTATTGTTACATGTCCAGTTCTAACTGTTGCTTCCTGTCCTGCATACAGGTTTCTCATTCCTGTAATATAATCTTCTTACAGGCCTTCAGCACAATAAGAAAGGAAAAATGATACACTGTCTGTGTTTACCACTTCCACATTATGTCCTATCCTGTCTCTGCTCAAATTTTCTAATTCCATTCATTTACCTCATCTGAGAAATAATCCTCCTTTTTCTCAGGGTTGAATTCTCTTGGGGGAAATTTCTTTTGGTAGAGAGTGCCTTTTTCTCAAGGAGATCAAGAAAAAAATAAGATTTCCAACGTCTTTCAAAGGGGAAAAAATGAGAATAATGTGGAAGTCAGGGCAGGTAGAGAATGTTTTCAACATCTAGGATGCCCAAAACCAGCAAAAACAATTAGAAATCATGACATGGGAGGGACTGCTAAATCATCAAGAGCAGGAAGTCTACCAGAATTCACCTTAAGTCTGGATAGCTCTAGGGAATCACTACTAAAACAAGAACTAGAAATGTGTCTGTGAATACCTAAGAGATAAATAAGAAAAGAGCTTATAAGAAAAACTAAGCTTATATTTCAGTATAGACCAGGTAATAAAAGATAGACTTCTTGATTCTTATATTT